TTAGTTCAACCATTGTGGAAGACAGTGTGGCAATTCCTCAAGGACCTAGAAATAGAAATTCCATTTGACCCAGCAATCTCATTACTGGGTATATCTCCAAAGGATTCTAAATTGTTCTATTATAAGGACACATGCACATGAATGTTCATTGCAGCACTGTTTACAATAGCAAAGACCTGGAACCAACCCCCAAAGGCCCATCGATGATAGACTGGACAGGGAAAATGTGGCACATATACACCACAGATGGAAACTACTGTTCCAATTTCTGAGGTCATGACCCTCTATAAGGTTCTGGAGCATGACAGTCCAGAAGAGAATGGAGAAGGTTTCTATACACCTAGCTGCTTCGTCTCAGAGGTTGATCCCCTTTTCACCTGAGGAAGGCTCTAGCACAAGGCTGCAGTGCTCTCCAGGATCCTCTGCCCTTTCAGTGGTGCTTGGTCACTTAGCACAGGGAGTGCCTTCTGAGAGAGAAGTGAGCCAGGGGCAACCAGATACCTCACTTGGAAACACAGAGGCAGGTAACAGTTGTCTTGAGCATCTTCTGACTGGAGTACAGCTCTGACCCTGCATAGAATTAGCCAGGCAGCCTGACACTGGGTTCTGGATTGCCCTTGGCTAGTTGGAAGTGCGGGCTGCTGATCATCTATATCTATGTAATCTGATCTAGTCCTTCACTGTTATAGTCTGCCATGACACACATCATCCTGGATCCGACTCTTTCAACTGGTGAAGATAATGATCCACTTAGCCCCATCCTGCAGTGAACCCTCTATCTCTTCTAGAACTGGATGGCCTAGTCACTTCCCCAGGTCAGGCTGACTGATGACTCACCCAAACAAGACCTTTCTCTTATCTTGGGTTAGCAAAATGAGACTTAAAAACATTACAGGACTATAGATTTCATAACGGGCTTGATGCATTTGAAAATTACCTTTTCTCTGTTATTTTTATTTTCTTCTTCTCTTTTGGCAGCAAAAACAACTTCCTCAAATATTTTTACTTCAAAAGTTAGCACTAAGCTTTGAAAATGAGAGGGTAGTTTACAGCACTCACCTCTAATAGAAGCCTTTGATGTAATGCTTGAGTTTGAGTGAGTGCATCCCAGGACACTTTCAAGAGCAGTTCCATCTTTTTTAAATTTCGAAAATCTCGTTCTTTCTCTCTTTGCTTACGAGAAAGTTCATCATGGTAGTTCTGCTTGTCGATGAGGCTGTTGCGTAAATTGAGATCCAAGATCCCTCTGTTCCAGGTAAAGGAAGAAAATGAAAGTGAATTTGTCATCAGCTGTCCAACATGTTTTTCAAAACTTATCAAGACAGCATGCTGAATATTGGCTCCTAATCTCTTCTGACAAAGACCTAAAAACAGAACTACCATTTGACCCAGCAATCCTATTACTGGGTATATAGTCAAAGGAATATAAACCATTCTATCATAAAGATACAGGCACATGTTTGCTCATCACAGTGCTATTCGCAATAGCAAAGATGTAGAATCAACCTAAATGTCCAGATAAAGAAAATGTGGTACCTACACCATGGACTATTATGCAGCCATAAAAAAGAATGAGATCATATCCTTTGCAGGAACATGAATGAAGCTGGAGGTCATTATCCTTAGCAAACCAATGCAGGGACAGAAAACCAAATACCACATGTTCTCACTTATAAGTGGGAGCAAAATGATGAGGATACATGGACACATAGAGGTCAACAACACACAGTGGGACCTACTGGAGGGTGGAGGGTGGGAGGAGGGAGAGGACCAGGAAAAATAACTAATAGATACTAGGCTTAGAACCTGCATGACAAAATAATCTGTACAACAACCCCTCATCACACAAGTTTACCTATGTAGCAAACCTGTATGTGTGACCCTGAACTTAAAAGTTTAATGAAAGACAGCATGCTCAGTATATGCATACATAACTATTCTTATGTTGGAATCATAAATCATAAATAATGCCCAAGGCAACTAGGCTTGTGAGTTGGCATCACTTAGAACTGCAGTATTATAACCACCCCTTTTGAAAATAATAACAGATTGGCAGACATAGAAGCCTCCAGTTTCCCTGAAATTTTACTTAAAAGCAAGACATAAAACTCTCATAGGGAATTACACCATGACATTGCTTCTATTAGAAAAAATTCAAGATGGCCTCAGAAATATCATTCGTTTGTTGGTAAAATCCCGGAACTAAACATAACATACTCCAGTGGCATGATTTTCCAAAGACACATTCCGAAATTTACAACAAACAACAGATTTTGTCTTGAAAATTTAGTAACAGAAAATTGAGAAAATTTATGAGTATGGAAAAATACTTCAAAGTGCTTTATTTGATAATATATTTATTAATGATAAAAGCTGATTTAAAATTATTTAAGAATATTTATTGACTGAATACCAAAGTGAGATTATGTTTTGAATTCTCAAATATAAATTGAAGAAAAATTTAGTTGACAGAACATACATAAATATAACTAACCTTTCAGTTAACAAAGTTGCTTCATTTTCTCTGGCTAATTCCAATAGCTTGACCAATTGGTTATGTTCTCGTTCTTTGATTTCAAGTAAGGCTCGTTTGCCTTCAACTTCCTTTATTACATCTTCCTTCTCCCCCACTACAGCACTAATCTTGTTTTCAACTTTCTTTAGGGAGTCATTTAGCTTTTTGACTTCATGTTCCAAGACAATTTTTTTCTTTTCCATTTCTCTGTAAGGGATACACACACACACACACACACACACACACACACACACACACGTTTGCCTTATATTGAGGCCATTCTGGCTTTACCTATTCTTGTTCTCTAACCAGGCAGCAGAAGAGATCGTCATAAATTCAATGATCTCAGCAGTGGGTAAAGACCACAGATGAGTGGGACTTGGAAGCTATCTCCACTGAGTGCCACAGAAGGCAGGCATTTGTCCAGGCTCCCTCTCTGCAGATCCCAATTTGCTACCACCTCCTATGATTCAACCCTCATCCTGACCCACCTCCTGGAACTGACCTGAGTTTCTCAACTTTGGTGTTGGTGAGCCTGGTTTTTCACACAGTTACTAGTGCCTGCCTAATTTTTCCCTTTTCTCTTAAGATTAGTCACCAGAGTAATCATATTATTTTTTCCAGAATTTTTTTTATCTTCAGTTAAAATCTTTATCTATTTTGGTTCCTCTAAACACTGAGAATTTCCTCAATGACCTCTGCCTCCAAGTCTACTCTGAATATCTGAGAGGTGTTATATACATGAAAGGGTGGCAAAGTGGGGAGTTACCATTATTTAGGCTTGGAGCTGCTGTCTGGCTGATACACTTCTAGACCATGAAATTCTAACCAGTTCACATAACTTATCCCATGCACAGCTCTGTTAAAGTCAAATGAACTTCTCCCTAAAAATGTGATTTATAAATTGGCAACAGAATCTTGACTCATAATTAAACCATAAATATTACAAATTATAGTAATTTGCTGCATTACTTTCTTTTAAAAAACTTGATATAAACAATGTAGATAGGGCCAAAAGCAGATATTTCTAAAATTAGAATAGTAATCTAACATGTCTAGTGGTTAATACTCTTATTTTAATGTGCACATATAACTTGGGCTATGAGGGACTCAAAGTAAAAACGTTAAATCATACACTTTTTTGCGTGTTGTTTTTTCTATCTCTTTTCCAATTTGTACCGGACTGGTTTGATGGTGGGCCAATTCATCCTAGTAAATAAATGAAATCATGTTAAATTATGCAATCTTGGACTAGAAGCAATTAAGAACACTAAATATGAAAGTGAAAGGAACTACAATATGTAGATACTTACCATCTGCCCTGTGTACCTTAATTATCCCATTTATTACTCACAATGACCTCATAAGATAGCTGTATTTGTTATCATTTTGGAAAGGAGGCAACTAAGTGTAACAAATACCATTCCTCTGCCCAGATTCCTATATAAAGGCACAGACGCTCCTCTACATACAATGGAGTTATGTCCTGATAAACCCATTTAAATTGAAACTCTCTTAAGTCAAAAGTGTATTTAATACACTTAACCCACTGAAATCATAGCTTAGCCTAGCCTACATTCTCAGGACACTTATATTAGTCTATACTTCACCTAACACAAAGCTTATTATATAACAAGGTGTTGAGTGCCACACAGTAAATAATCATAACTTATTGAATACAGTACAAGAAATGTAATTTATTCAATACTGAAAGTGAAAAATGGAATGGTTGTATGGGTACTTGACATATTCTTTCTACTAAATGGATATTGCTTTCACACCATTGTAAAGTAGAAAAATCATAAGTGGATCACCATAAGCCAGGGACCGTCTTCCCACCCATCCCTCAGATACTGCAGGGGTGACTGCTAATGGTTCATGCTCAATCTCCTCTCCATTGGATTGTGATTGGCTGAGCAGAGCTTCCTTGTCAAGGAATAGGAGATGGAATAGGAGCCAGGGGGTGGAAGGAGGAGGGGAACAGGTTGCGACCAATTACCAACTGATGTGATTTAACAGACACCCCCTACCACCACCTCTGGGTGCAACAGCTTCTGTGATGCAATTCATGACTGTGTGAGTTCATGGGATTAGGCTGAGACTAGAGTTCTCCCGAAGCAGCTGTATTCTGGCCTAGCTTCTTCCCAGTTCCATCCTGCTTCCCTCTATCTCTTATAGGATTCTCCTTGGAGCTCTCCTTCCATTAGTAGTGCTCTTAGGCTCTGTTTCTGGGGAGCCCTGCCTAAGACACATGCTACAAGAAGTTAAGTAAGTTTCCCGAAGTCACATAGCTAGTAAGTGGCAAGGCCAAGATCAGAAGCTAAGTTTGTCTAACATCACATCCCCCATTATGCTCTGCAGACTCATAGGAGGTTCAGTTCCAGTCTCAAGAGTCTTACATACATGGCAAGGGTCATAGAACAGCCCCTTCCTGCCTGACGATGTCATTGGACTTTGGAGCCAGGGGTTATTTTATTTTATTTTATTTTCCAAATGCTCTGTGTTTATTTCATTCCCTCTGTGTGCTCTGAGGTAGGACAGATATTTTGCAGATACTGAGGCCCTATGATTTGAAGGTCACCAGCCTTCAAATCCAGTAACCAAGGTATATTGAACACAGAAGAATCACTAGCACTGAGGGCTTTGTGAGAATCAGAAATCATTCTCTATCTATGAGAAGGAACTCCCAGGCATGACTTGCTCTGAGACAACAGCTTCTAAAGTTCCTCCATCAGATGGGTGTGAGTGGGGCAGGTTTCTGTATCTTCAGTTTTTCCACCAGTCATCTTCATCAAAAAAATACCAACTACCGTCAATTACCATCTGGGGCTTGAGCAGTTGCACTTCCTCCAGCAGCCTCCTGATTTGCACAGGGTACTGCCATTTCCATAGCCCAATTATTTGTAGATTAGACGTGGGACATGCAAAGGCTGAACACAGCTTCCTCATTCTGGTAGGACTGAAGTTATTCTGTACCAGGTTTAGGCTGGCCAGGTGCCAGTTGCAGGAAAGGGCCAAGGAGAGTTCCTCACAGCAACCAGAAGTCAATCCACATGCCTTCAACCCCAATCTCCTTAGAACACTTCTCCTTTGCTTTAGCCCCTCACACAGTGCAGTGACCCCGACGTCACCCACGGCATTGTCCGCGAGATCCAGGCTCCTCAGGTATCTGCTACTCATGATCACATAGGACAGACTCACAGTATGCGGCAGTGAGATGGCAGCTGACCAGCTCCAGGTCCTGGAGATGACAAGATGGTTCTCTCATGACCTTGTACAGAAGCTTCACATTGCTGTCTTCCAAGGGGTTCATGCTGAGGCTCACGTGAATCAGCCATGCATTGCCCAGAAACATAAGTGCGAGAAAGCCACAGCCAGCTGTGTCCAGGTTGCAGTGATTCAGCATCAGCCTCTGCAGACCACAGTGGGGAAGCCTCAAGGATCGACACAGCAGACTCACACCTTCATTCCCCAGGTTGTTGTTGGAAAGGCACAGGTGTGTCAAGCTGTGGTTGGTGACGAGGGCTGAGGCCAGACTCTGGCAGCCCATGGCTGTGATGCCGCAGTCCTGCAGTGTCAGCTTCTGCAGGGCGCACTGGGAGACCTTCAAGACCTCACTGAGAGCCTTCACTCCCTTGTCTGTCACCTCATTTCCTGCCAGGCTCAGGGAGCTCAGGCCAGGGGAGGTGGTAAGGATCTGCGAGATCTTCAGGTAACAGGTGTGGGTCAGTCCACAGCGATCCAGCCTCAAAGACTCCAACATACATTTGGGGTGTTTTAAGGCTTCACACGCCATCCTGACATCCTCTTCCTTCAGGTGGGTGCTTCCAACCTGAAGTCGAGGGATCTCAGGTTACGGTTGGTGATGAGGGTTCTCCAGAGCTGCTGCAAACCACGGGTCATCTGTGCGTTTCTCAACCTCAGGCTCTGTATCTTGCAGGCGGGAGGCCTCAGCTTGGCACACAAGGTCTTCATGGTCCGTTCGGTCAGGATGCTGCTGCCCAGCTCCAGCTGCTGCAGGTGAGGGTGAGTGCCAAGCACGGAGCAGAAATTCTCCCACTGCTCATCAACAAGGGTCTTACCCCGCATCAACTGAGGAACCACAGGCCATGCCTCAGCCAACTCATCCCTTGCAAAGATCCCCTTGACATCCACCCGAAATTTCCACAAATTCGGACAGTGCTGGAGACAGAAGGATGATGCCGTCAAGTCCATGTTCTGGCAGATCGGAAGCCACACTTCCTGGAAGCTCTTTAAGGCTGAGCGAACAAACTCTTTGTCCTGAGTCTCGAAAAGGCAGTGGAAGGCATCCAGGGTGTCGGCTGGGGTGGTGGCGTTGGTCTGCTGACCCAACAGAGACACCCAGTGCAGAAGCTTCTGCTTCACCCCCAGTGGAACAGGGCAGCCCAACAGGACCTCCAGTGGCCTCCTTATGTCTTCGTTCATGAGGCCAAACAAGAAACGCTTCATCCAAAGCAGGTGGCTGTGGAAGTCCACCTGTTTCAGCTCCACCGACCTCTTCCCCTTCTCAATGAACAGAAGACAGAGCGCCGGCTCGACGTCCAGCCCCTCTAACACGTAGTACGAGGCTGCGCAGAAGTCTTGGAGATTGAGGTGGAAAAATGTGAAGTGCTTTTCCTCGCAGTGGCCATCCCGGAGAAGGATTTGCCAGTGCAAATGGCTTCACCCAAAGGTGGATGAAGCTGCTCGCTGGGCTGCCGCAAGGCACAGGGCAAGTGTGGGTGCTGCGCCTGCCGCCCCTAGGCTCCGCGGGTTGGACTTAAGCGGCTGCGCGCTCCACACGACAGGGTCGGGTCCTCGGGAGTACGGGCGGCCCCCGAGCTAGGCCCTTGCGGGGCTCGGCCACGCTGGGCGGAAGCCTCTGCCCCCGGGTTCCTTCCCTTGCCACCAGGCCGGGGAGGACGCCGAGGGGCCCCGGGCTGGGCTTCCTCTTCCTTGCGGCTGAACCCTGGCCCCCGGTCGCAGCCTCGTCTGGCAGGTGGCGGACGCTGGCGAGGGTCAGGGGCGGCGTGGCCTGTTGCTTTTGGGGTGCCAGCAGAAGAGAGCTCTGGGGGCACCGGCAGGCCTCCTCGCGGACCCATTTTATTTTTGCGGAGTTGGTTTTTCTTGCTGGCAAGGGTTGGTGCGGAATGTCAGATGGCTGAGAGCTAGCAAGGAAAACTCAGGACCATGATGGCTCAGTTTCTCACAGCTATGAATGCACTTTGTGAGGCTGAGGGAGGCAGATTACTTGAGGTCAGGAGTTGGAGACCACCAGCCTGGTTAACATGGTGAAACCCCTTCTCTACTAAAAATACAAAAATTTGCTGAGTGTGGTGGCAGGCACCTGTAATCCCAGCTACTTGGAAGGCTGAGGCAGGAGAATCACTTGAACTAAGATGCGGAGGTTGCACTGAGCCAAGACAGTGCCACTACATTACAGCCTGGGAAACAAGAGAGAGATTCCATCTCAAAAGAAAAAGAAAAAAGAAAATGCTTAGGAGGGCCAAACATGTGGGCTATTACCTCTGAAGAAAGTACTAAGCATGACAGGCAGTTTGATAACCTCAAACCTTCAGGAGGTTACATAACAGGTGATCAAGCACATAATTTTTTCTTACAATCAGGTCTGCCGGCCCCTGTTTTAGCTGAAATATGGGCTTTATCAGACCTAAACAAGGATGGGAAGATGGATCAGCAAGAGATCTCCATAGCTATGAAACTCATCAAACTGAAGCTTCAAGGCCAACGGTTGCCTGTGGTTCTCCCTCCTATTATGAAGCAACCCCCTTTGTTTTCTCCATTAATTTCTGCTCGTTTTGGAATGGGAAGCATGCCCAATCTGTCCATTCCTCAGTCATTGCCTCCAGCTGCACCTATAACATCACTGTCTTCTACAACTTCAGGGACCAGCCTTCCTCCCTTAATGATGCCCACTCCCCTAGTACCTTCTGTTAGCACATCATCATTACCAAATGGAACCACCAATCTCATTCAGCCTTTATCTATTCCTTATTCTTCTTCAACATTGCCTTATGGGTCATCTTATAGTCTGATGATGGGAGGATTTGGAGGTGCTAGTATACAGAAAGCCCAGTCTCTGATTGATTTAGGATCTAGTAGCTCAACTTCCTCGACTGCTTCACTCTCAGGGAACTCACCCAAGACTGGGACCTCAGAGTGGGCAGTTCCTCAGCCTTCAAGATTAAAATATCAGCAGAAATTCAGTAGTCTTGACAAAAGCATGAGTGGATATCTCTCAGGTTTTCAAGCTAGAAATGCCCTTCTTCAGTCAAATCTTTCTCAAACTCAGCTAGCTACTATTTGGACTCTAGCTGACATCGATGGTGATGGACAGCTAAAAGCAGAAGAGTTTATCCTTGCAATGCACCTCACTGACATGGCCAAAGCTGGACAGCCATTACCACTGACTTTACCGCCTGAGCTTGTCCCTCTGTCTTTCAGAGGAGGAAAGCAAATTGATTCCATTAATGGAATTCTGCCTTCATATCAGAAAATGCAAGAAGAGGAACCTCAGAAGAAATTACCAGTTACTTTTGAGGACAAACAGAAAGTCAACTATGAGCGAGGGAGCATGGAGCTGGAGAAGTGACACCAAGATTTGATGGAGCAGCAGCAGAGGGAGGCAGAATGTAAAGCCCAGAAAGAAAAGAGTGGGAATGGAAACAGAGAGAATTACAAAAACAAGAACGGAAGAAACAATTTGAATTAGAAAAACGCTTGAAAAAGCAGCGGGAATTGGAGAGACAACGAGAGGAAGAAAGGAGAAAAGAGATAGAAAGACAAGAAGCAGCAAAACAGGAACTTGAATGACAGTGTCGCTTAGAATGGGAGAGAATTTGACGACAGGAGCTTCTTAATCAAAAGAATAGAGAACAAGAAGAAATTGTCAGGTTAAACTCTAAAAAGAAGAGTCTTCATCTTGAGTTGGAAGCACTGAATGGCAAACATCAGCAGATCTCAGGCAGACTTCAGGATGTCCGACTCAAAAAGCAAACTCAAAAGACTGAGCTGGAAGTTCTGGATAAGCAGTGTGACCTGGAAATTACGGAAATCAAGCAACTACTACAGGACTTCAGGAATATCAGAATAAGCTTATCTATCTGGTACCTGAGAAGCAATTATTAAATGAAAGAATTAAAAACATGCAGTTCAGTAACACAGCTGATTCAGGGATCAGTTTACTTCATAAAAAATCATTAGAAAAGGAAGAATTATGCCAAAGACTTAAAGAACAATTAGATGCTCTTGAGAAAGAAACGGCATCTAAGCTATCAGAAATGGATTCTTTTAACAATGAGCTAAATGAACTGAGAGAAATCTATAACACACAGCAGTTACCCCTTGAACAACTTTCTGAGATCAAACGTGACAAGTTGAAGGAAATTGAAAGAAAGAGATTAGAGCTAATACAGAAAAAGAAACTAGAAGATGAGGCTGCAAGGAAAGCAAAGCAAGGAAAAGAAAACTTAAGGACAGAAAGTCGTAGAAAGGAGGAAGAAGAAAAACAGAAGTGACTCCAGGAAGAAAAAACACAAGAAAAAATTCAAGAAGAGGAACAAAAAGCTGAGGAGAAACAACATTGAGACAGCTAGCATTTTGGTGAATTATAGAGCATACCCCTTTGAAGCAAGGAACCATGATGAGATGAGTTTTAATTCTGGGGATATAATTCAGCTTGATTAAAAAAAAACCCTAGGAGAACCTGGTTGGCTTTATGGTAGTTTTCAAGGACATTTTGGCTGGTTTCCACGCAATTATGTAGAAAAAATGCCATCAAATGAAAATGAAAAAGCTGTGTCTCCAAACAAGGCCTTACTTCCCCTACAGTTTCTTTTTTTTTTTTTTTTTTTTTTAATTTTTTATTGGATTATAGGTTTTGGGGTACATGAGCAGAGCATACAAGACAGTTGTGTAGGTACACACATGGCAGTGTGCTTTGCTTTTCTTCTCCCCTTCACCCACATTTGTCATTTCTCCTCAGGCTATCCCTCCCCACGTCCCCCTCCCACTGGCCCTCCCCTTTTCCCCCCAATAGACCCCAGTGTTTAGTACTCCCCTTTCTGTGTCCATGTGTTCTCATTTTTCATCACCCACCTATGAGTGAGAATATGCGGTGTTTCATTTTCTGTTCTTGTGTCAGTTTGCTGAGGATGATGTTCTCCAGATTCATCCATGTCCCTACAAACGACACGAACTCATCATTTCTGATTGCTGCATAATATTCCATGGTGTATATGTGCCACATTTTTCCAATCCAGTCTATTATCAATGGGCATTTGGGTTGATTCCAGGTCTTTGCTATTGCAAACAGTGCTGCAATGAACATTCGTGTACATGTGTCCTTATAGTAGAACGATTTATAGTCTTTTGGATATATACCCAGTAATGGGATTGCTGGGTCAAATGGAATTTCTATTTCTAAGGCCTTGAGGAATCGCCACGCTGTCTTCCACAATGGTTGAACTAATTTACACTCCCACCAACAGTGTAAAAGTGTTCCTTTTTCTCCACATCCTCTCCAGCATCTGTTGTCTCCAGATTTTTTAATGATCGCCATTCTAACTGGCGTGAGATGGTATCTCAATGTGGTTTTGATTTGCATCTCTCTGATGACCAGTGACGATGAGCATTTTTTCATATGATTGTTGGCCTCATATATGTCTTCTTTCGTAAAGTATCTGTTCATATCCTTTGCCCACTTTTGAATGGGCTTGTTTGTTTTTTTCCTGTAAATATGCTTGAGTTCTTTGTAAATTCTGGATATCAGCCCTTTGTCAGATGGGTAGACTGCGAAAATTTTTTCCCATTCTGTTGGTAGCCGATCCACTCTAGTGACTGTTTCTTTTGCCGTGCAGAAGCTGTGGAGTTTCATTAGGTCCCATTTGTCTATTTTGGCTTTTGTTGCCAATGCTTTTGGTGTTTTGTTCATGAAGTCCTTGCCTACTCCTATGTCCTGGATAGTTTTGCCTAGATTTCCTTCTAGGGTTTTTATGGTGCCAGGTCTTATGTTTAAGTCTTTAATCCATCTGGAGTTAATTACCCTTCAGTTTCTTTATCTGCTACCTCAACTTCCTCTGAACTGCTTTCTTCAAATCAACCAGCATCAGTGACTGATTATCAAAATGTATCTTTTTCAAACCTAACTGTAAATACATCATGGCAGAAAAAAATCAGCCTTCACTCGAACTGTGTCCCCTGGATCTGTTTCACCTATTCATGGACAGGGAAAAGTGGTAGAAAACCTAAAAGCACAAGCCCTTTGTTCCTGGACTGCAAAGAAAGATTACCACTTGAACTTCTCAAAACATGATGTTATTACTGTCTTGGAGAAGCAAGAAAATTGGTGGTTTGGGGAGGTGCATGGAAGAAGAAGATGGTTTCCAAAATCTTATGTCAAGATCATTCCTGGGAGTGAAATAAAACAGGAAGAACCAGAAACTTTGTATGCAGCTGTAAATAAGGTTACATGCTGCATGGAGGTTGAATTCATCACTGCAGTGTGGTGGGCGAGACATTTCTCTGTGGGATCTTGTTCAGTCCCAGGGCAGATCAAATTCTGTGAGGCTGAAACTTGTACAATCTGGGAGGGAGGGGCCCTTGTTAAGAGAAAGAGTCAAAAATGGCAAATGCTAACTTAGGTACAGCATCTTGAAAGAGGTTCATGAAAGTGAGGAGCCTGACGCTTAAGCTTCAATGGGTTGCTGTTAAGTCTATCTCTGCTCGGGGTCCTCTGTTCTGGGCAACATCTGGGCACATCTTGGCTGACTGCTCTAGGACTATTATAGAAAAATAGGTCAAAGTGTGTCCCCATTATCCCCTAAGCCAATGAGTCTCAGATGTTATTTTTAAAACAACTCTAGGTTATTTAGACCTTTTTGAGTTATTTATATATTTTTAAAAATAAAATGAATTTTAATTGATTATCTCCTAAACTATAGGCCTCTCAGCCCTTTTATAGTGAGAGGAAGTGGAATGGGATCAAAGAGACAAGGATAAAGTAATACAAAATATACATTAGAGGTGTGTGTGTGTGTGTGTGTGTGTGTTTTGTTGTTTTTGAGACAGAGTCTCACTCTGT